TTTTTTTTTTTTTTTTCCTTTAAATGAAGAAGAAAATAAAAATAAAAAACTAAAAGAGTAGAGTAACTGTAACGCGAAAATCATTAGAATCTTACCTGCATCTTTAGATAAAAAAAATTAAAAAATACGGTAATTTTATACATTAATTATGTGGGACACACAGGACGCGCGGAGTGGTTCACACTATTCTAAGTTGTTTGTCATGAGAATATAATAATTGATAAAAAGATGTAGCTATAAATCTACTAGATAAATGTATTTTGTGTTATGACTCGCTATGATGATATATTAAAAATTAAATGAAAATTTAGCGTCCGTTGATGGTCCCGCTTCTAGGGAGTCAAGAAGATTGTCTGGAAGGGGACGTAATCGTTTCTTGGCGTTAGTACTGTAGGAAAAAATTAAGGTTATAATTTGAATTAACATTTCGTTTGTTGCGTCTTAATTCAACTTCTTTCGTATCGTCCGAAGTGTCGGAATGATGTTGTTCGAACGTGTAGTGAGTTAGGAAATTGTTGGTTAAAAGTGTTCATTTCTTTATTTAATTGACGCGATGTGAAGCTCTATATTTGTTGCTCTTCGTATATTTTGAATATTTCGTTATATTCTGATGGTAATCGTTATTGATACGAGTTAGATATTGTTTATGTTGCTAACGCTGGCGAAATCGTTTCGCGCTTGTTCCATGGAAAGTTGCGACGGCCTGTGCTTCGGCTTGTCGTTTTTCTTGATAGGTAACTTGAGTTGCACGTATAGATGATGGAGATTGTTCTGGAATTAGACATAATTCATCCAAGTATGAGTCAGGATCTGGGTTTACTACTGTGTTGTTTGATCTTGATTTGGAAGGACGATGACTAGATTCAGCAATTGATGATGAAGCTAAGCTCTCAGCTGGAGGGGCAATAATATAACTTTCTTTTATTCCGGAATTAATAAAAATTTCTATGGCGGTGGTGGCATCATCATTAACTGGTGCAATGGTATTAGTATTATTGCTGGAACTACTGAACATTCCAGCGGTGGTGATAGCAACATTATTTGGTCGATATGCAAAGTACGGGACAAGTATTTGTAATCTTTAGTGTCTGGTGCTGTGTACCCTTTGGCATATTTGAGGTGTCTAATCGGCTTGTTGATGTATTGCGACTTGAGAAAAAGAAATTTATATTTTTCGCTGCTGCTAGCTGGTCTTCAAACTTGAGTGGAGATATTTTGGGGTTTGATGACGTTCAAATCGTTTTTCCTGTTTATCCCGCGTTCTGGGATTTCGGCTAGACATTAGATACATATGAGTATATCCTAATTTAAGATTGAGGCAGCGTCACGAGTGTGGATAGATTCGGTGTAGGAAATTCCTAATCTATTAGAAAAGACTTTGTTTGTTCGTCAGTGTGTCCAGTGGTAATATAAAAGATTTGCGTGTGAGAATTTGTCATTAGTAAAATCCTTAGTGGTGTCTTTAATGATGTTTTTTTTTGAAGTAGTTAGGTTTGATATTTCTAAATAGATCCGCTTTGAAGAATAATTTTTGATGATTGACGCATGCGCGTCGGTAGTGTGACATAACAAAAGGAGGAGGAACATTGCAACTATGAGTTGCATAACTGAACTCTGAATGTTTAACTGTATATGGACAAGGTATATAGATACCAAAATAAAAACGACATCTTTTGTAAGAAAAATTAAAAAAAGCTTAGTATGACGATTTCGTTTGTCCGTCTTGGAACCACGTGACGTTAATATGATATTGTACGTTTTTTATGTGGTTAAAAATTCTCAATCTCCGCATCTTGTATTAAATTGTAACAAATATTGTATAATAGCGTGCGAGTGTCCGGAAAATTGACCCCATTCCGAATATTTATCGGACAAACATTTTTTATAGGGTGGGAAAGTCAAATTTTTTCGCCTTTTTTTTAATAAAATGACATTCCGGAAAGAGTTTATTTTTTGGTGGTGTTGGGTATGTTTCTGCAAAGACAGTAGTGCGTTTATTATCAGCTTTACATTTATTAAAGAGAGTATATAAGTTTTTTTATTATTTAAAAATATTTTACAAAGAAAATAAAAGGAAAATGGGTTGGGTAAGACAGACTTGTACTGTACGATTGTACGCACATCTGTACTAATTGTCGTACAGTTGCAGTTTGTAGCACAAGAAAAATTTTTTTGTGCACAAAAAAAAATTTGCACAACCTATTATAAATTAAAAAATTTTAATTTTAAAAATTGTGCACATGTGCACTAAATTTTATATACTGTCAGTACACGAAATTACATTCTAATTAATATTTAATACTGTAATATAAAGTAACACTAATAACGCCAACTTTTTTTATTTTTTCTAACAAATTATTTAATATAATAATTAAAAATGGATAAAGCAAATGAAACTCAAATTCCTATTGAAACAGGACAGAATAATTTAAAAACCTTCAATAAAGTTTCTAATTCAGTAAATATTAAACATACAAATTGTTTTTATTGCAATAACCCATTTACCGAAGAATTATGGTGTAAAGAATGTGATCCTCGTCGCATGATTGAAGGTTGGACTAGTGGAAATAACGATATTGATAAATTTATCAAGGATACCATCTATAAAGGAAGAAAATACACTTTTGATAGATTTCTTGAATGGGTGCCATTTGATAGGTTTAAAGATATAAACCAAATTGGTGTAGGTGGATTTGCAAAAGTGTATTCTGCAACATGGATTGATGGAATAGCAGAATATAATTTCGATTGGAAAAAAAAGGAACCTCAACCTATCAAAGTTGCTTTGAAAAGATTAAATGGATCAGAGAATATGTCAGCTGAATATTTGAATGAGGTATATTTTATATTAACTTCACATATTTTACTTACATTTAATTAATTAAAAATTTTAATATTAATTTTAATGTAAATAATAGCTTAAAATTCATTGGAATTGTTATAAATATGCTTCTGCTACTTCATTAGAATTTTATGGAATGACAAAAGATCCTAAAACTGAAGAATTTATGATGATTTTACAATTTGTAGATGAAGGAAATTTAAGAAGTTTTCTTTCACACAATTTTAATAACATTTTATGGAAAGATAAGATAAAATATTTAGATTGGTTAATATTTGGTCTTAAAGCTTTACATGAATTAGGATATTTTCACAAAGATTTTCATAGTGGAAATATATTATTACGAGTAAGTGAACATCAAACTTCTATTTCAGACTTTGGATTATCTGGACCATCAAATAAACAAAAATTAGATGCTAGAATATGTGGTGTGCTACCTTATATTGCCCCAGAAGTTTTAAATGGAGAATCATATACATTGTCTTCGGATATTTATAGTTTTGGTGTAATTATGACAGAATTATCATCTGGAAAACCACCATTTTATGACAAAAAACATGATTTAAGTTTAGTATTGGCCATATGTAATGGGCTCAGACCAGAATTTGGAAAAGGGACTCCTGAAATTTATAAGAAACTAGCTTATAAATGCATGAATGCTAATTCAAATCAAAGACCAACAGCCAGTGAATTAAAAGACATGATTTATTTTTGGTTCCGTTCTTTTAATTACTTTGAAAAATATGAAGAAAAAGAAAAATTTGGATATAAAGGAAAAGAAATTAAAGCTATGTTTGAAGAAGCTGATAAAGAAATACCAAATATTTCAACTTCATATGAGAAAAGTCCTGATGCTATATATACTAGTAGATTATTTACATTTAATAATTTAACAAAACCTATTAATTCATCTCTTATTACATCATACCTTGATGATGAAAAAAATAATAAAGGTACTATATTTGGTAATATGTTTAATTTAGCAATTATTCAATTTCATAATCGCTGATTTTATTTCTTTTATAGACGGTCAAGATTCTCAATTATTTGACTTAGAGGTTACTAGCTCATTACAATCAAAAGGTAGGTAAAAATATATAATTTACAATGCACTGACCATATAAATTAATTAATTTTATGTTCCTTTATTTATTTATTCAAAACAACAGATGATAATAGTGATGATTAAAGATGATTTCAACTATTGAGTGTCATATTCTATTTATTTTATGGCAAATTTATCTTCTATTTTATTTTTTCAGAATTATTTGTTTACACAAAATATAATAACTTACAGCCATGTTATATTTATTGCTGGTTAATATTATGGATGTTATAGTATGACTCCAATCGTAACCAATAGTTGAGAGTTAACAATTTAAGTGAATTTATATTATAGCAACAACCTGGGATATGCAAATGAAAAAAAGAAGCATTTATTGATGTTTATTACTGATACTTTGTGATAATTGATCAAAGTTAATTTTATTTATTTTTTTTTTAATGTTAGTAATGATTTAATGATTTCAGAAAGTTCAATATAAAATAAATATACAGTAGTATATTATTTTTTTATTTAAATATTAAATATAATTTCTATATTATTGACAATGTGAAATAACACGATTAAAAAAATAAACTCAGTAATTTAAGTCCAAATAAATGCGAATATTATCGTAAAATGAAAAATATACATCATATTACTAGCTTCATATTGAAAATAGTTTTCGTATTCTCAACTATTATTATAAGTTTTATTTACGTGATTAAGACCTAAGAAAACCTCATCTGATAATATCTTTTCTGATAAAATTACACCTAATAAAATTAAAATAAGATTAACCATATAAATTATTAAATCATTAAAATATTTTGGTTTGTCGAATTTAGTTTTAAAATAACTATTTCAAATTTTGAAAAATCTTTTTCATCCATGTCAAGCCGATGCCAAAGACGTATCTTAGTATCAGAAAGTGTCTCACCCTAAATTAAAAGAAATCAAAATTACCAAATTTTAGAACTCTTAAATTGTAATACTCAATTAAACAGTAATAGTCATGTTTAACAAGAAATTTGAATTGAATCCCATGTGCCACACACAAAAAGTGTAAACCGAATTTTAAGGAATTTGTATTTGCCATGTACAAGGCGTCTACTTTAAAAATCTGGCTGTGGTATTCAATTTTATGGATGATGGAAGGAGATACTCAATCCCTCATTTTGAAAGTTGTTGCAACTGCTAGTATCAAAAATCAACCTTAAATTTACCGTATTCATTGAGACTCCCTCGAATCATTCAACAAGCAGACCGCGAGGATCTGAATCCAAATATTGATGTATTCCTAAACTCATGTGGCTATGTGAATCTAAAAGATAAAGAATCTCAAGCAGTGGTTTAATAATATCTAATGGCCAAATTGGAACTTCGCTAAAAACCACCCCTTGACGTTGTGTATGAGACAACTAAATCCATTTTATTCTTACAGTTACCTGAAAAATTTTTCCAAATCATACTATATATATATTATATATTATAGAAGGTAAAATAGTGTAATTTGGTAATTATTTATGGAAATTCCTAAAGTTAAGTTTTTAATTGCTTTCGTTTATTTTTTTTAGACGGTTTTAAATTTGCCTTTGGCAATAAGTTAATGAACGATATCATTATTGATGTTTTTAATGTTTTTGATAATCTTGATAAATTTAACACAGAGATTTTAAATTTAAATATACTAAATATACTACTACCGCAATAAGGAAGAATTCTGTTATCATGATCAAATTTTTGTAAATCATTTACGAAATTTATCATTCATAAATCGTACTGTTTTCGCAAGATAGAAATATTATCAACTATAATTTATAATCATAAAACCATTTTTAGTAATAATTTAGCTCCTCAATTTGTCTCTCCAATAATTAACTACGAGAATGTTATCGGTTACCCGTAAACTAGTTAGCTGACAATTTTGTGATTGTAACTGGGAATTAACATAAACATAAAATTGATACCATTATCATCTCAGGACTTATGAAGTACACTATCACTAATAAGACTTTTTCATCATCTCCCTATAAAAAAAGTCTATAAAAAAATATTCTAATTAATTAATCAATTCAAAAAATTATCTTACCAAACTGGAGTGCAGCGATAATTATGATCTGCAGAGCCGCCGTTATTCTGCACATTGTGATGACTTGGATTAGCGCAGCTGCTCCATTCTCAAAATGAAAGCTCTGACATAGTAGGCGTCTGACTTGACTTTTCTTCTTTCAAAGCACAGAAAAACCTCAAAGATGAGACCTAACGACTGGCAGCTTCATAGCGAATATGGTTACTCAGGAATCTAATGATATAATTTTTACCTCGTTCTGAATTTTACCGAATATTGCCGATGTCTTTTGACACATAATTTTGTGTAATAAACTAAACATTGAGTCATTGAATCATCTAAAAATCCTTTTACTTAAAATCTATATTGATTTATTTGATCTTATACTCTGATACTCAAACTCCACTCCGTGGGTCTGTGGGAAAAAATCTTGTATGACATAATTTTTAACTATAACTAACAAATTTGTATACGTAAAATTAATATATTTATAATAAAAATCGTGTCTCATGTATAAAAGCATGATCACATGATCACAATCAATAATCATCTAAAAATTTTTTTACTTAAAATCTATATTGATTTAAACTCCGTGGGAAAAATCTTTTGTATGACATAATTTTTTTGTATTCTAACAATAGCTAACAAATTTATATATTGTTTTTGTATAATAAACTAAAACGTAAAAATAATATATTTCTAATATATAAATCTCAGAGTATCTCAGAGTATTTGTATGACATAATTTTTTATATAAATACCTTTCCATTCTACCCGAAAATTTTTTTTTAAAAAATTCCATCCTTTCTCTTTTGTCCAGTTCCTTCTCTTCCCACCTTATTTTTATCATTTTCAAGTAACCTATCTTCTCTTTTTTTATTTCTACTTCCATCAAGCACTGTGCGGAGGATATTTTTTTTCAAAAAAAGTTTCTTTTTTAAAAATTATTTTATGTTTATTTTCTCTCACACACTTTGTGAGCAGTATAGGACCTTGCTCTAAGTAAACTCGTCCTGTGGCTGCACTTGATCAGTGACGCATAAACCAAAATATTTTGGGTTTTAAATTTCAATATTAAAGGTATGTCGAACTATTTTTGTAAAGCTAAAGAGGGTGGGCTTTGCCTGCATTACCCTCGTTTCTGGTGAAGGTGAACAAGTGGATGCAATGATCAAGGAAGTTATGGCAACCTTGTGAGCTGGCAGGTCTATCTATGATAACTCTGTTAACTGACGGACCTGGCTGAGATACAAATAAGATCTTCTCAGTATCTAGGAGAGATGTCAGCGAAAGGACGCAATAATAACCTAAAGCTGTGTTTTTGTAAGTTCTTTCAAACAGATACTCGTAAATTTACCTTTTACTTGATACTTTAGAAGGATACTGCCTCACGTCACCCTACCAGATGGCGGGACAAAATTTTTAAGTAGAGTACTTGGCGAAAGCTAACCATCCCTTTAATTTATAGATGCCCCTCAAGAAATTTGTAAGAACAACATCTATTTATAACGAAGAGTCAGATGATGATTCTGGTTTATTAACTTGTACAGGTCAGATGAATTCAAACATTATCCAACTCAAAAAAATTTTAAAGAATATGAAGATATCAAATCAATTTTTTTCACCAGAATATGGAATGCCATCTCAAGAAAATAGCAATGAATTTTTTCATTTATTAAAAGGTACAGTATTATAAAATGTTTAAATAATGTATCTGAATATAATTATTAATAATTATACATTAGGAGAATTCAGAGACAAAATATTTATCATACTTTGTACTACTCCTGGATTAATGATCAAATTTCAAGATATGACAAAAATTACAAAAATTAAAGACCAAGAGAATGTTGATTTGTTGTTTGCAATTTCGAGTGTAGGTATAAAAAGTGATGCATTAAAATTTTGCGAAGAAAATCAAATTACATATTTGAAACTTGAAAAAAATGGATGTATGAGTACGTTAGAATTTATCAATAAATTTATAAATTGATTTTAAAGTGAAGGGAATGATATTTTTAATAAACAAAATCATAAAGCTAATTGTAAAACTTTTATTCATATTTGGGCTCGTTTATTGTATCTTTTCCAATGAATAATTAAGTCATTAATAAAGTACTTAAAAAATTTCTACCTATTCCCGTCCAATTGTTTCCTGCACACCCAAATAGGTTCACTAAACTACCCGCATAACTACTACTATTCGTATGGACTTCGGTAATGTTATATAAGAACCCGCCAACAACACCTTTTACTACTACAACTACTAAAAATAATAAAAATAAAACTACCGTAATCAATAATATTATAGTAACTGTGTTACCTCCAATTATATGATTTTGAAGACTTTGTAAATTAAAGTAAATTAAAGTAATACCAGGTTAAAAGTAAAATAAAAATTTCATTAAAATTTTATGAAATCATCATATTTTTGGATTATTATTTTTGGATTTAAATGGATTAAATGAAAAAAATTGATTAATAATACTTTATAGGTAATAATGAACTTGGTTACTTGGCTTAATAAGTGATGATTGTTCAGATTATTTTGATTGTTGTTTTGAACAATTTTTTAAAAATGGCTTTTTTTTTGTTTCTTATAATTTCATTCTCATTTCTTATTTTTTGATATTCGCGTTTTGTCAATAAAATGTTCTTTACCAAAATGGTGGTTTTAACATTTTTATCTATTCCCAACCCTCTATCAATTTCATTAAATTTATTACACCGTATTTTCCAAAAAATCATAGATTTTTTTAAAATAAAACTCTTTAAAATTCAGAATACCAGGGTAGTGTTTGTTACATTGCCATGGCGTCATGTGCCGGACGGTTGAATCTTGGACTAATTGTTATTTTGGGCTATATTTTTTTTATCATGATTGTTTACGTTCAAATTGTAAGAAATAACATTTATTTTTCAAGGAATAGTATTACTGTATATATTTAACCCTTATTAATTTTTTTAAGCCCATGATATCTTTATAATATTTCTTACATCTAGAGTATTTGGCTTTCAAGGCAATACCCTATAAACTTTTTTAATATTATGTGTATTTGTGAGTATAACAGGATTTTTTAATTTATAATAATCATTTATCGTCAAATTTCATAGAACAGAAAAAATTACTATTGAATGTAACACTAACGCTAATACAGCTATCACATTTTTGAAAATCCAAACAAAATAATTCAATTATAATGTTTTATTTGCGAAAACAATCAATTTATACTCAATTTTATTGGAGAAAGTTCTGATAAAAGATGCTTCTTAAAATTTTTTTAAAAATTAAACTTGTTTTTTTTCTGCCATCAATTGATTGTCCGTAACCTCTATACAACATCATTTCATTCTGACGAGAAGTGAATTTTCTATGAATATCCTCTATACCTATTCAGTGTAATAAAGTAAGGATTCATATATCATAATAAAGATTTTAAATAGAGAGAAATCAAATTTATTTAATAATATTGAAATAAGATCTGGTATTGGAGAATCAGGTCGAATGGTCTTATTTTGACGATTCACAAAGATCTAAAATCGTATTTGTCCCCGAAAGAACGTTTAAAGTTTGAAAAATAATATCCTTAAAATTCCAGTAGGTTACACTTTTCAGAATCCTATATTCATATACATTAGAAAGTGAATATTGATAATCACAAAAATTGGATCCTTGATAATTATTGAATTCTTTAATGATCACGATCTATATTAAATAATAATAAATTATTAGCAAGAACAACTTTTTTTTTTTCAAAAAATAATAATAATAATAATACCTTGATAGTAAGATAAAGATGGTTTTCTTCCACTTCTAGTAAACGTCTCACTATTAAAGATGAATAAATAGATTACGATACTTTTAAATTAACCATATTAGCATACCGACATACGTAAATAATTACTAGGTATATCTTCAGGAACAACAGGAGAAAATACCTCATTAATATTTGATTCACGAATATAAACTAACATATGCATTAGACAATCTATGGTTATATCCAATGAACTAATTGCATTGATTTGATTGGAATATAGAACTTCGTCACCATAGTAGTTCTCAAGTACTCCACTAGTATTTGTAACAGGTATAACGTAGTTACTAAATCTATTTACAATTTAATATGAAAGTTTTTATTCGTATAAGAATTGATATTTTTCTTTTCAAAAAAAAAAAAAAATAAGAATTTAAATTATACCATTTTGCCATCCTTTTAGAGTTTTAGTAAAACAAAATAATGACCTCCCTGAAAGTCACCACTATGATATGAATACTCCGTATAATAACAAAATTATAAAGATTTAAAATAATAAATTGATAATGAATAATTAATATAAATTATAAACAAACCCATATAAAGATCTTCTAAATCAATTTCCATTGGATATTCAAAGCCCGATCATTGACCTAATATGAAAAAAGAATTTAATAAAAGAAATGAATTGTCAGTACACATTTAAAATGTATTACTTTAACCATTGCATATAATATTTGAATCTCTTAAGTTGTAAATGTAAAACCGGAGGAAAGCTTTCAAATGTAACATTTTTTATGGCATTATGATATCTTTCGATAGTTGTTATTCAGTAAAACAGTAATGATTTGCGAGACAAACAAAATCTATTTTATAAACTTTCAAAAAGAAAGAATATAACCTAAAGTATCAAGTAAAACTTTCCTATTAAATTAAATATTATTGATGATGATATTTCAAAATTAAAATATCGAATGCAAGTTAAATCCATGAATTACTTTAGATGATCAAAATGATCATACAAATTTCCCATTACGATAATCTGCAGTGTCACCCATTAAAGATTTAATGGTTGTGCATTATTTTTATTTGCAAACATATCATTTTTTTAAAAAAAATTTTACCATTAAATGTTAGTGCCAACAATCTATTATCATATTTATTGATGATTAAATCTCGGTGTTATAGTATTCAAAAAATTAAATTATAGTAAATGATTTTGTTATGAAACTCATTCGCCGGTATCGCGTGATCAATTTCTGTTTCCATTTCATACTATTTTCTCCATTTATTCTATGTATTCTGGGAACTTGAATAAAAAATCCATCAAGTCCAAATCGTAACAAAAAAATTATTTTATCATCGTCGTTAAAATTTAAGTTATTTAGATTATTATAATGTGATTATACTATTACTTAATTACTCGTTCTAAATTATGAATTATTTAGACGATTAACGTTAGTTTCTAAATTTTATTTGTATTGTATGTTAAGTAATTAACTTTCATGTTTAAGACAACATTAATATGTTGCTTTAATAAAGGAATTGTATAAAACAAATATAATAAGATAAAAACAGGGATTTATAAATACAAGTTTTCAATGCTTTTCGATGAAGTATAAATATTTTATTGAGATAATAAAAACTACAGTATGTGCTATTATACTTGATGAGCAAATATATATATCCTTCATGTACATCATTGACATATGAGCAAATCCTAAAGTTGACTTTTCACTATTTCTTTCTTCTCCATCAAAGTCATGTTACCGACTCAACAGGTCGTCATTAATGTAAGGATGAAAAAAAAATGAGTAAAGAATTCTATTATTTAAATCGTGCGAAACTATGCCTAATTAAAAGCTCTAATTGAATGTAATAATAGCATTTTCATAAAAATGTATATGTCTTTTGGTGATATTTCCCATTTACAAGACTTGTATGTAGTAATACTGTTCATTAACACATTTCTGTTATTTTCAAAATTTCTTTTAATATATTTCAGCAATTTTGTTTTAGAAGGGCTTTTATACACCAATATTGTATGATAAAGCAATGTCTTGATATTAAACGAAATGGAAACGAAAGTTAGTATATAAGTAATATTTACCCATCTTCGTTATGAATGTATTTATGAATGCCCGGATATACTTTCGGATAATCGCCTAATTTGGTAACGTAAATTTCATTTGGTCAGGACTGTTTCAATAAGAAAAATCCGTCCTAAAAAAAAATAATGAACGAAAGTTAGTTTACGTCTCAAAAAAGTCACAAGCTCATCATTACTCTCTATATCTAGTCGCACATTATTTACAAAACTCATTTATTGTTTACAAATATAGTAAAATCATTTACGCCTCAGTCGCCTCACACTTTGACAACCGCCCAAATTGGTAAAGACCCCTTTTTTTGAATGTCAAAAAGATAAAAGAAAATTTTTATTCATAATTTATTAAATTTTGTATCTCCTATTTTTATAAAATTTATTGTTCTTAAATAGTAATATTAATAAGTAAATAAATCCGGTTTAACCAAACTTAGACAAACTTTATGTGAGAAACATCTCAGAAGAAATTTCTAAAAATTATAAAAATATAAAATAATAATATAAATTTTTAATATATTGTTTTACTTATTATTTCATATGCGTAATACAGGCGGATTTGCATAATGTTATTTTGACTATACCGAATAAATATTTATTATAGGAAATGAGGAAACCCCAATTCTTTAACTAATTTACTATGTTTGGCTGATGTATGATTACGCAAATCCGCCGATATGCAATACTTTCTTTTTTTTCTTTCTTTTTTTATATCAGTCTCATTAGCCGTTTATACTTAAAAGCAGATCATTCTAAATTCGATTCGTAATTATTTCCCAAATTGGCGATGAGAAATTTCCTTATAAGAGTTAACCTAATGCCAGTATCTCATTGTACCACATTTCAAAGCATCTCGGCGAAATCCAAACATTACACATTTTTTATTTGAACTCTAAAAAAGGAATCTTATCTGTTATGTTTATATGCAATAACGCGCATATATCGTTTATTAATATAAATACGTTAATTAAATCCTATTTTTTAGGTAGTTTCTCCCCCTTTTTTTTAAAAAAAAATAGAGAAATAAAGCAAAAAATTTTTTTATTTTATAAGAACATCATATTTTAGTTATGAATAGAAGAAGATTTGGTTCTAATAATGATGGTACTCGAAATAATACCGACGGTGGCGATGGCGGTGGCAATAGCAGTAAAAATACGAGGCCGAGATCAAATCGTGGAAGGCGCGGTGGTGGCGGTGGTGGCGGTGGTAATGGTGATGGTCGTCGTGATGGAAGATCTGATCAAAGTCGTAATAATACGCCAGCACCACCAAGACTTAGTGTTCCTCAAATAAGGCAATCACAACAAGAAACCACTATTGCGAATTTTAGTTCTTCTGAATTAAGTTACAATGGTAGTGACCGATTAGTTTTCATTACTGATGGAGAACCGATTATAACTCTTTGGAAAAGAATATTGAAAAGAGACAAATCTTGGGATCAAAATGACGTTAGAATTTTTGTCAGTTCTGCATTAGTGGCAACAGATCGTCGAACAGGTTATGAAGTAGAAGATATAGTTACTGAATTGGGTAACCCTGAAAGTGGTCTCAAGAGATTAAGAGAGATTATAAATTTTCCTTCAATGTCATGTGACGCTGGTCTTGATAATAATGTGCTATCTTTTCAGCATGTTGTGTTACCTTTATTGGGTTTATTTACCAGAACGGCTATTACTGAATGTATTTTGGAAAAATATGTTCATGCAATTTTTATGGTTGTCTATTTAAACCTTGTAAGTACCATTAATGATTGTATTCTTTCTTTTTTTCTTCGTAATTAAATAATAATTTTTTTTTTTTTTTTTGCAAAATAAATAGGACTCATTTCTTTATGATAATGTGATGAAAATGTTGGAGACGTTGGTCCAACGCCAATCTGTTGCGGATAATCGCATTAGCATTGAAATATTATTAAGACGTGAACGATATTCATTTATTCCGTCTTCGTAAGTAACACTTATGTGATGTCATCTCATATTATTCAATATACTAACAATTCTCCCTTAAATCCTTTTAATACTAGTTTAGGAATATTTTTCTTGATAATCGTACGACTTATTACAGAATTATTGCGTCGCATCAAAGAAGCATCTATTAACGAAACAATGCATAAAATTGCTAGTGATTTATATCGATTAAAGACCACATATCAACAGTCACTTGAGCAACAACAATTTTCTTCAACAGATCCGTTAATAAGTAATTTAGAGACCAGAAAATATTTTTTCACCATATTAGAAAGGGAGATGAATACCATGAACAAAATGTTGAATAATGGACGTAATAATTTGATTTTTGAACAAAATCCTGGAGCTAAAAATTTTAACATAATATCAGATAAATTATATTATGAAGAATTAGCTAGAAGAGTTGATGCCGAAAGAATATATGATCCACCTGGTGAATTATCAAAAAATGGTAAAAGGCATGATAATGATTTTGAAGAAGTTTCAAATATATTAATTATTCCTACAAATAAAGAAATATTATGTGACCGTTCACCTTTTTTACCTTCTACACTTCACAATTCATTACATTTTTTACCTGATGGACCAGCCAGATTACTAGATACACAATTCCGTCTTTTAAGGGAAGATTTGTTAAATCCAATTCGTGGTGGTTTATCAAATTTATTGACTGCATTATTACAAGAGTATCATTCTTCTACTAATGATATTAAATTATCCAAAGAATTAAAGAAAATACAAGATGGGGGTGGTAGATTTTCGTATAATAATGGTGTAAACGAAAATGGTGATCTACAAGTATATACGAATATACGATTTGCTAATATTATTTGTGATAAAAGGAAAGGGTTTGCTTGTACTATAAGATTCACCCCTCCAAGAATTAGTGCGAAAAATGCAAGAGGTAGAAGGGAATACTGGGAAAGAAGTAAAAGATTATTGACTGGTAGTTTAGTTACTCTTATATTACCAAATCCAAATCCTAAAAAAGTAGATTCTGATGATTCCACTAATAATAATATTAATACTTCTATAAGTAATTTTGATTTCTATTCACTTTATTTTGGTGTGGTCATATCAAGAGATGAAGTAGCTTTATCTAGAGACGAAAATTCTGCGTCAATTGATATTAATTTTATTGATCCATCAATTTATCCTATCGCATTAAGTGAAATTATAAATTATAATAAAACTAGAAAAGAATCATTAGAAAAAAGATTTATGGTAGAATCAACTGGTGTTTATTTAGAAGCTTATTATCATATTCTTAAAACTCTTCAAACTACAAATCCTTCTTCTTTACCTTTTGAAAAATATTTAGCTCCTAATTTTGATGATATGAATAATGATGAAAATAAGAAAGGAAAAATGAAGGAGGGAGAGAACTATACTCTTGATATTAAAGTTGAAAATCCTATATATACTAGAGCTCCAGGATTTCGATTTGATTTATCGATTTTATGTAAAAATCAACATAATATACAATTAAATGTTGCTGATGAATGTACTCATGATGAAGTAGCAAAAAATATCGTTAAATATAGTAATATTGGTAAATTACCAAATGGAACTCCTTATGGATTGGACGAAACTCAAGGTAAATTATAAGTAGTACTATATTAAATGAGAAAAAGTTTTATTGACCTAATTTTTTTTTTTTTTTTTTTTTTTTGATAGCCAAGGCGTTGATATCATCCTTAACACGTGAAATTGCGTTAGTTGAAGGTATGTATGACGTAAAAAATTTTTTTATATAAATATATTGAACGGACTTGAATTTAGTTTTTATTCTTTTATTAGGACCACCTGGTACAGGTAAAACTGTAGTTGGTGTTCAAATAATGAAAGTATTATTAGCCAATGAAAATCGAAAAGCAAAAGTTGGGCCAATTCTAACCATTTGTTTTACTAATCACGCTCTTGATCAATTCTTGGAGGTAAATTTTAATTATTTTATTTTGTTATTATTATTATTATTATTATTTTAAAAAAAAATACTAGAAAAATTAACAATTTATATATTTTTATAATTATAGCATTTACTTGATGAAAATATAACTAATATAGTGAGGTTAGGTTCTCGATCGAAATCTGAAAAGATCAAAGAATTTAGTTTAGAAGAAGTTTGTAGAAATCGTGCTCGTACTAAAAAAGAATCTTATTTATTAGCAAAATTATATGAAGAGATTGAAAAAATAGGAAGTGATACTGAAAAAGTAAAAAATACTTTATTTAGAAGATGGATGAGATGGAGTGATATAAAAGATTATTTAATGGCTGAAGAGAGAAGATTTTACGATAAATTTGTTAATATAACTGAAAATGATTTACCAAGTTGGGTTTTAGGAACTGATGATGATGATGGGTTTCAGACTGTTAAAAAAAATAATAAACAAAAGAGAATATATCCATTTGAGGAATGGACAAAAGGAGGTGATATTACAATAATTAAAAAGAGAAAGGAACTTTTATTAAATCCACCGATAAGTAATAAGAAAATTGTCAAAAGTGGATCAAATGCAAATACGTATGAATTATTAAGAGAAGAGTTCGAAGATGAAAAGGATATAAGTGATGATGAATCACAAATTGATCATTATACAATAGAATGGATCAAAAATTACGAAGAACCAGAAACGGATCGACCTTTGGATGTATTATTAAACGATCATTCAGTTTGGAATATGTCAATAATAGAAAGACATAAACTTCATGATTATTGGCGTACAAAAATTTATAATGAAATTGTGGAAAAATTGTCAGAATTACAAGAAAGACATGGAAAAAAAATTAAAGAAATGAATGACATTTATGATGAAGCACGTCGTCAAGTATTATTAAAAAGTGACGTTATCGGTATGACTACGAACGGTGCAGCTAAATTCCAACAATTAATTAGATCAATTGGCCCAAGAATTATCATTTGTGAAGAAGCAGGAGAAGTGTTAGAGGCTCACATTCTTAGCGCATTAACCCCATCGACCCAACATTTGATATTGATAGGTGATCACAAACAACTTCGACCTCACATTGCAACTTATTCTCTTAGTATGGATTCAACAGCGGGAAAGAATTATCAATTGGATAAATCATTATTTGAAAGATTAGTTTATGGTGATAAAGCAGTTAAAATTGAGAAGGTTCAACTTTTGACCCAAAGACGAATGAGAGGAGAAATATCAGATTTAATTAGACGCACACTTTATCCAAATTTAATTGATGGCGATAATACTACAACATACGAGAATGTACGTGGAGCTCAACATAATGTATATTTTGTTGAACATAGAAATCCAGAAGATAGTTCAGGTGGAGAGTATGCAATAAAATCTCATGTGAATAGATATGAAGTTAGAATGGTCGTTGAGATGGTAAAATATTTCGTCAGAAATGGATATACTAAACCCGATGATATAGCTATACTTACTCCTTATTTAGGACAAATGATTAAAATTAGAGATGCTTTAGCTAAATCATTTGTTGTTGTCATTGACGAAAGAGATGCGCTAAATATTGCTGAGATGGAAGAACAAGAACAACAAGGTGAAACAAATACTAGTTATGTAGAAACTGTAAGCGTTGCATCAAAAAAATCATTAAATCAACAGGTTACTTTAAGGACCGTTGATAATTTCCAAGGTGAAGAGGCAAACATAATTATTGTTTCTCTAGTTCGTAATTTCACTCAATCAGGTAGACATGAATCTATTGGATTCCTAAAAAGCCCGAACAGAAGTAACGTATTATTGTCACGCGCTCGTAAAGGAATGTATCTCATTGGTAATTCTGAATTAATGGCAATGAAATCTCAAGATATGTGGACTCCAGTAATTAATATTTTAAATGATCGTAAACAAGTTGGTTTTGGTATGCCAATTGTATGTAATAAACATCCTGATTATAAAAATATCATCATTGATCCTGATCAGTTTGAACAAGTTAGTCCAGATGGTGGATGTTATGAAAATTGTAATATGTCACTTCCTTGCGGACACATATGTAAATATAAGTGTCACTCAGATGATCCTGAACATATTGGAGTAAGATGTAACGAACCTTGTATAAGATTACATCCGGAATGTAGCCATCCATGTCCAAAACTTTGCTCTGATTATTGTGGAAAATGCGAGTTTCTTATCGGAGATATTATATTACCTGGTTGTGGTCATGAAATAAAAAATGCCAAATGTTGGCAAGATCGATCTAAGGATTCACTTAGATGTACAATCTTAGTTTCTAAAAAATTACCATATTGTGAGCATTATCAAGATACTTACGTGAGTATATATATATTTTCTATTTAAGCGTATAATGACATTGATGTTTGACAATTTATTAATTATAAATTATTTTCATATCTTTTTAGTGCTCTGATTCTGTTGATAATGTCAAATGTACAGAAAAATGCAGAAAACAATTGGAATGTGGACATGAATGTTTAAATGAATGTTATAAATGTCAAGATCTCTCTAAACCACATGAAGAGCCCGAAAATGAGGAAACAAAAGATGAAACAAAAGAAGAAACAAAAATAATCGTTCCTATTGAACGAACACAACATGGAAAATGTAAAATTGTATGTGACAGATTATTATTTTGTGGGCATGCATGTAAACTTTACTGTCATGAAGGAAGAGAATGCCCACCATGTAAGAATCTTTGTACAGTGATATGTGAACATACATCATGTCACAAGCATTGTTTAGATCCCTGTGCTGTATGTGCAGAAAAATGTTTATGGGAATGTAAACATCAAGGAAGATGTGAATTAAGTTGTGGAGCTCCTTGTTATAGATTACCTTGCAACGAAAGATGTAATAAAGTATTGGAATGTGGACATAAATGTGCCGGAGTTTGTGGCGAGATCTGCCCTTCAAAAGATTTTTGTGTTAATTGTGCTCCTGAAAAAGTTAAAAATCAAGGTAAGTAAGTTTATTAGATTATAATTGAATCTTAATCTTTATATATAGTCAGGATTTTGATTTTGATTTTTTTTTTAAAAAAAAGTGTCAGATATGATTATTAATAGTACGTTTAGTGAAGTAGATTGGGAACAAGAAAGAATGATTGTTCTTACTTGTGGGCATGTATATACTATGGAAACTATGGATATGCATATGGAAATGAAAGATTATTATGAAGGTTCAATCGAAGGAGGGTGGACATCAATTAAAATACTTCCAACTTCACCAATGAATATGAAAACGTGTCCAACATGTAGAGCACCAATTAAAGGCGTCAGGAGATACGGGAGAATAATTAATAAATACACATTAGATATACAAAATAAGAAATTCCTGTCAAAATATGATCGTCTATTAAAAGAAGTTGCCAACTCAATTACTTTTCTAAAGAATAAATTGGTTAATAAGAGAAAAGGATTAAAAAATGCTTTACCGAAACACGAATTTAGGCAAACTGAAGTTGTGCTTAAAGAACATAATGTTATAAACGAAAATTTACCTGAAATCCTACCTCATGATTATTTTGAGGATATTGAAATTTATCATGGGTTTGATAAAATTAGCAAGAAAGCATGGATTACTCATATTAGAAAATTTTTAAATTGTTATCAGAGACTAATTTTAATTATTGAGGATACGAAATTACCACCTCATAAAAAAGCCTTCGAAGCCGCCGTTTCAAGTTTGTAAGTATAAAGCAAGCGAATTCTTTTTTCTTAAATTTATATATAATCATTTCGATTTATATTTTTTTTTTATTTTAGATATCAAGCTAAATTAGCACAAGAAGATTCTATAAATGATTTGGTTGAAAATTTATTGAATTTTCAAATTTCGGATGATTCTTCCTCCTCTTTTGATCATTCTTTACCATATGTTAATGCTTTAAAATCAACTCCATCCGAAACTTTTCAAGAAACGCTTTCACAAGTAGGAATTTCAATACCACAAGTAGATCGTAGAATTTATTTGGATGCATTTTTTGAAATCATCAATATACAAAAAATTTTGCATCACGAAATTTTATTCATAATTCAAGAATTATCAAAGGAAATAACATCTTTTATTATTATATCAGCTGAAAATGAAAATGTCTTAAGTATTAAAGAAGTTTGGAAAAACTTTATTGAAAGATTACAACTTTCTATTCAAAATCATTTAAATACAATAAGAGAAGTGGCTGAATCTACTCATTATGGTAGACATTTACTTTTGGTTGATGTAGAAATATTAGATTTTGACCTTAAATTGCTCAGATATCAATTAAGATTTCCTCCTAATGGAAGTAGCGTAGTCGGTAGAGCACTTCAAGAAAGAATTACAGAAAAATGCGAGAATATTAGAGAACGTATTGCAAATATTATTGACAGTCAGAGATATAAAAATTCCGAAGAGGGATTTAGGGATGGCCTTTACAAGAGACTAGCAAATTTATTGGAAAATTGTAATGAAGTTGAAAATTGTGCAATGAATTTGAGTAGAACATTAAGTATTGAAGAAAAGTTAGAGATTCATCGAGCTATGAAATCAGAATTTAACAGTTCAGGTACAAATAGGAATTTCATTTTATTTAAAGAAAGTTATCATCTTTTGTTTCTTTAGTAAAAATTTTTGCTAACGTCATTATTATTTATTAGGACATTGGTATGAATGTCCAAATGGACATCCGGTAAGTAATTTAATAATTCATGACTATGATTTTTTATATTTAGTATATTTATATAATGACATTTAATTTTTTTTTTTTTAGTACACGATTGGGGAATGTGGTGGAGCTATGCAATTGAGTAGATGTCCTGATTGCCATGAGCAAATTGGTGGAGGTGATCATCAATTAACCTCCGGAAATAGAATAAATTCAGAATTTGGTTCTATGTACTGATAATTTTGCAATGTATCTATTTATTATTTATTTTTCTTTTTTGAATTTTATTTCATTATAAATACTTTATTTGCTCGTTAGTTCAAAAAAAAAATCTTTTATAAGTTACTATATCAAGATAATAATACAAAATAAAGATAAATTTTATTACAAAACTAGTACAATTGTGAAAATCTTTATGTAATGTATAACAAAAAATGTAGTTAGAAAATATATCGTCAATGACGTAATAAATTTAAATCTTATTGTGAAACGAAGTACAACATTTAAATTGAAACGATTACTTTACAGAAACCTGGTGTTTTGCGACTTAGCAGTCATGAGTTCGTCACCCAATATTTTCGAATTCGTATCTATCTTTCGATGTCATATTTTGCTAAGTTTTCGATAACATTCCGATAAAGTTTTGACGAAAACTAGTCTTGAAATAGTGGCTAGCTCGAATAATAATCTTTAAAAGATAGCAAATAACATCGAACATCAGTCAGAATATATTAATCAAGACATTCGTGCGACGTATCTGCGAGTATACAACGATGAGTCAAAGATGTTAAAAATATTTTTTTTTTTTTTGTTTTGTATTTATAATTTTTTATTTATTTTATTTTATTTTATTTTTTTTTTTCGAAGTGTTAAAATACTTTAAATTTTCTAAATGTATTTGGTCTTGTAGGATATCATAAAATACATACAATACATTAATTGTAACTAATATTAATTTATTAACATGTACAATTGTAAAATTTAACCGTAAAATATAATATAAATTTATTTATAAAATACAGTACATTGCAAATACATTATCTAATGTTCCAATGTTCCTCTTATTATAATTGGATAGCCGCGGATTTTTAAGCGATCAACGTACTAAAAATTTCCGTTGACATAGCGCCCCTGGTGACACAACTATAATAAGGTGGGAACCTGATTTGGTCAATAGTATCACCTGATTGATCCGTACTCACCATATAACCCAACGGCACCCAGAAAAATTCTTCGATCACGTGATCTGTTTTTATTTATCACATCGTCACACCCTGTCCGAGTTTCACTGTTTATATTTATCCGAGGGACTTAGATTTTTTCAAGTAGATGAAATTCTATTTGTCACGTTTTATTCATCACATCCTAAATTCTTCGATCACGTGTCAGTGCATAACGCCGGCCGAGTTCGAAGAATTTTTCTGGGTGCCGTTGGGGTAGTTC